GAAACTGAGTGCTTTTAGGAATATTGTCAGGAATATACAATTTTGCTCTTCATAAAGATAAACAACAATTATTTAGCACATGTATTGCCTACGGTGCAGCATCTCTGGGGATTTTTTTATAATCCAAATTTAAGCCTATAACATAATAATAGGGGTGAGCAAAACCATTTTTTAAGAAAAAGAAAATGTTTCTTTGTTATAAAATCTGGAATGATGGTAGAAAATGGGAGTTATTCTGATATGTGGAATAAATTATATTATCTGTTCTGCCTTTTTGAAATAGGGTTAAAGTTAGTGTGCTTAAGCAAAATTATTTTCACTAGGTCTCTTATTTTTATCTCTGTTATTATTTCACACAGTAGATTTACATTATGTCTTACATGCGATCAAGAGCCAGTATTTATAATTCTCAGAAATTAAATAAATAAATGCATGCTACAGTAATGGGCTGGCTTCAAAGCCTTTTGGCCATAGCTTCTTTTACATGATTTGAGGACTGATACCTCTGAAGAAACCCTGCATTGCAACACAGTGTATTTATATTAGAAGTCATATATCATGCTCCACAATAAATGTTACATATTAGGTACAAAAGCTCAGAACAGCTGGTTCAGTTAAAGATAGCATTGTAGAACTTCACTGCAAGTGTTCTGACATGAGAAAATTTTCATCTGATCCCCAGCAAACCCATACCAGGACTTGCTGCGTATACTACCGTATTTATACATACATATACACAAGACACATTGTAAAGCATTGTAAAGTATTGTAAAGGAATGTGTGGGTTACTTTTTTTAAATACCCAAAGAACAGTACTAATTCACAGTTGGAAGGCCTTGTACATGGCCAATTTCAAAGTAAAATCTGGAGTTTCTGAAAGTCATCGCCGAAACTGTGTTTTAAAGGAACTAACAGACTTTTCTCCTCTTTTTCCACAGAAGAAACACAAGCACATATAAAATCCAAAATATAAACGAATGCTTTCTGAAAGTAAGATTTAGACTGAATCATCAATAAATGTACATTATTTAAAAAAAAAAAAAAAAGGTGGAGCAATCAGTCAAGATTACTGATTCCAATGCACACATGGACCAGCCGGGTTAGCTCAGCTGGTTAGAGCATGGTGCTAACGCCCTGCTTTGGAGCACTGGTGGAGTGACCTATGTAATATTGCCACCTGCTGGCAAAGAAAATGGAATGAGCAACTCTTCAAGTTTTTCCTCCATAAATTTCTGGGTAGATCCACACACAGAAAAGGAAGTAAACCAGGCTACTACTATGTAAAGCAAATTTGAGTTATGGCATTACAAACCATTCAAGAAAGCAGTATTAGGGACTTTTGTATTTAGGATTTGTATTAGGGACTAAGAGGTCTTTTTGGCTAATCAGTTGCCTTTCGTTTTTTAGAGAACCACCTAGAGATACAAAATTATTCTGTTATTTTGCATCTGCTGCCATCAGCTGCAGACTGTGATGGACTCATCATGCAAAAGAACAACTCTTGGTAATTGCGGAGAAAGCCTCAGAAACTCTAACTCCTGTGAAGGAAGCCCTTAATAGAAGCCACATAGGCCACCTGTGCTGGATTGTTCAAGAGGAGCTCCAAATTTGAGGCCTGTTATAATTAAGTTTTGTCTTTACTGTGAGAAGGTGGTGGCCATTAGATAGCTCTAGCTCCAGCAGGAACACCAGAAACTCCTCTATCAGTTGGTTAGGTCACCCCATATGTTCTCAGAGCAGGCCTGCTTTATGTGGCTCTGGAACCGATGCCCAAAGAGCCCACATGGATTACCTTATCATCATCTTCACACGTCATAACATTGGAGAAAGGGATCTCCGCTTTGAACATCTTACGACAGTGCATGAGCTGAACAAGCAGGTAGCAGACTGTCTTGAACTTCATTCTTTTGGCAGGCTTAATGTCTGAGAGAATTAGTCCAGGAAATATCTGTTGGTCGGAAAAATAATATTTATAACTGTGTCATTGCATTCGCATGTGGACATACATACCTGCAGACATTTACACCATCTAGTGGTCAGAACAAAGCAATATTCTAATCAAGAAGCAATGCATTTTGATAAACATATGTATATGATATGATAAACATATGCATCATCATGCATATGAAGATTACTTCATCTTTTCTTAACCTGAGAATCTATTGAACAGACAGTATTTAAACACATACTTAACATTTTAGGAACTGTTTTCTACATAGAAATGTAGACTATAAAAAAAGCATATTAATGACAAACTCGTAAAAGAGGCAATATTTGTATTTCTTTAACCTTAAAATAAATTCTGGAAAAATACAGGAAAAAATAAGGAGTAAATTAGAATTTTTATTAATTGATGTTAAAAAATACAATTTCAGTCTTTTTCTTATTTCCTCATTTTGTTATTTCAGCCACTGGTAAGCCCATTAAAATCAGAAGAGGATAGCTTTTGCTTTGAAGATACACTTATATACATGCCCTAAAAGGAGGCTGTGAGGCACTGAGGTTATATCTTACATTTTATTTCTTCAAAGCAAGAAGTGTTATACCACAGAGAAATATTCTCAAAGGGTTGGGTATAACCTATGCCTTTTAGCACGGAGCTTCCAGTCCAGCAAGGACAAATATTTTCTTGGTTAGCTCTTAAGCATGTATTTAACTCTTGCTGATTTTAGTAAACCCCTAGCACATGTTCAGATGCTTTCACAGATCAGAATAAGAGTGATCCTTTATTCTACCCTCAGTATTTACACCAATCTTATTCATGCTTCTGGCATGTGGAACGTATAAAGCAGTGTTCAAGGGACATGTGGAAGGACCCCATGCCACCACAGTATGGGAATTTAAACTTGTGAAATTAATCTTTTCTGGAACAGCAAAATAAAGCAGCACAGAGGATTTGGTCCCTAGTGTTCCTACATACAAAAGACAGAGCAAATCACAATCCAAAAACTTCATTCAAATGCTCTAAAACCCGCAAAGGGCAATGAGGATTTCCTGTCCAGTTTTTACAATACTATGATTTACTAGACCAGTTTACATCATTACTTCAATGCTCAAGGAATGAAAAAGGAAGTAAACTGGAAGCATTTGTTTAATGCATGTTTTCATGGATACCCAAATTTAGAGGCACAGGGCAAGTGACACTGCTTATATTCTGAATGACATCTCAGGTATTGGTTTGCTATGCTGTTTAACGCATACTGCTATGTACTTGCATTTTCTGGAGAATCAAGGGTATATCCTATTGATCTACCAATACTCTGTTTAGTCAGTTACTCTGTGGCTATGAAACACAAAAATTACTTGTGTATAAATAGTTGCCATTTTTTGTTAGCAGATGGCTACATTATAAACATATGAGATGTTTCAAATGTGGAAAGGTGCCTAGGTATGCACATGTGCTTTACTGGGCACTGAAAGTCTCACTGAAGCCAGCCAGCATTAACAGCACTGTACTGCATGGTCATCAGCTGGAATCTAAAAGGACACTAGTGTATCTAGTGTGTAATCACTTGTTTAAGTGATAGGTTGACAGAAGTCTCCATGAAGAGAGAGTCCCAATATGAACCCTTTCTTTTGACGGCTTTCTGGCAGAAGACTTACTGCTGTATTGCAATAACTGCATAGAAGATACTGCACAAGGATATTCACATACTAATCATCCTTTAGGTATTCCTAAGGACACCAAGTAGATAGATGTTAGGCTTGAGTATGGCAGATATGATCAGCTTTTGAGCTCCCATTCTCAACAGCTAAAATGTACTTTTTGGACAGGTACTCCACTTACAAATTTTCCTAATTTAGCCATAATTCCTCTAGAAGTATTATATATTTTACTCAGTCTCCCTATCAACCTTTTGATACAACAAAAATGAGCAACTTCCTTGAAACTCCCTCCAGTTTTGCGTTTTGCTTCATTTTTTTAAGGCACAGAGATAAAAAGGGAATACACAGAAGTTTACAGGTGGACCATATCTCAAGAGATTATTAGCTCTTTCTTTGCTCAAACCTTTTACTGTGGACATTGCATTAACTAGGTCAACAACTGTGGTTTTAGGTCTCCATTAGATTGGCTGGAAAAGACGCTCTTAAATAAGTACAGAGCTACAGAAGCTGCCTGACAGCCTTCATTATGAAAATGCCACAGTAAAGGTGCAAGAGTGACAAAGAATACGTAGAACATTTTGTTAGCAAAAGATTGAAGAAGGCATGACTGAGAAAGGTGAGCACATGGGCATGACTATATCCTCCTATAAGGATTTGAAGTCCTATGAAAAGAGAAGAATTTAGACTTTCCTCAAAGCAAACTTATAATAGATGTGTTTCTGAGAACAACCTGCAACTTGAAAACTTGGAATAGATACAGTTTGGCTCAGGCAGTGTGGCCCTGCCACCAGCATGACTTTTCCTCAAACATATTTTCATGCAGTTTCCTGACTATATCTTCAAAGAACTAGGTAGAACATTTTTAGATCATATCATCAACTGCTCTTGTTGTTTATAAATCTTATCAGCAGATAATCTTTCTCTCTCTATATATATATGTATAATATATAATATATACCCTTTGTATGTAGGAAATACAGGGGAGTTTTCCAGCTGTCTTGGAGTCAAATAGAAGTTTTTCAACTCAGGTCATTGAAAAAAATGGAGCAGTGTGTCTACTTCTGGGTTCCCCAGTACAAGAAAAACAGTGACAAACCGGAGTGAGTTCAGCAAACGTTCACAAAAACAATTAGGGTTCTAAAGTATACAACATATGAAAAGAACCTGAGGGAATTCCGTTCATTCACCTGGAAGAAGGGAAGTCTAAGGAGGGATCTAATTGCTGTCTTCAGCCACCTAAGTAGTTAGAAGACAGAGCTAGACTCATCCCAAAAATGCTCAGAAAAATCACAAGAGGCAGTGAACATAGGCTGGACCAAGGGGAATTCCTATTCAATACAAAGAACAGAATTTTTAACCATGAGGATTGATCATAGAATCATAGAACCATACAATCATTTAGGTTGGAAAAGACCTTTAAGATCATCCAGTCCAACCATTAACCTAACACTACCAAGTCCACCACTAAACCAATTAAGGGTAGAGTAATAATTTCATGTTTCCTGGCTTGGTGGCTGGATTATTTTTTAATGAAAGTAAAAACTAGGAATCATTAAGGTTGGAAAGGATCTTTAAGATCATCAGCCCAACCATCAACTCAACACCACCATGCCCACTAAACCATGTCCCAAAGTGTCACATCTACCCATTTTTTGAACACCCCCAGGGATAGTGACTCCACCACCTCTCTGGGTAGCCTGTTCCAATGCTTGACTACCCTTTCCTTGAAGAAATTTTTCCTAATATCTAATCTAAACCTCCCCTGATGCAGCTTGAGGAGCAGGCTGCCCCGAGAAGCTGCCAAATCTCCAGCCAGGGAAATGCTCAGCACTCACTCAGACGAGTTGCCCCGAGCACCGTGTAATTTCAAAAGTGGATCTAACTGCGAAGCAGGCCCTGCTGCCCTGTCGACCACATGACCTCCAAAGGTCCCTTCCAAATTCAGCTACTGTGTGATGCTATGAAAACGTGTGGAACACATACAGCTACTGTTCTTCATGGCTGACCAAGAACCTAACCACTCAAAGGACATTGCAATACAGACAAGTAGGGCACACTTGGCAGTTCTCAGGTCATGTATAATTTTATATATAACTTTTTCTTTCTTTTTTTTTTTTTTAATCTAGTGTTTGCAGGACATATAGATTCTGCACTGGGACTGAGCATTTGCCATTCTACTATTATATATACACAATATCAAAAATACAAAGGAATTCTCTCCCACTTTCATCTCATAAATCATGTCACTTTTTTATTATTACTTTTACAGCAGAACAACACTTTTGACACAGTGAACTTCTGAGTGGAATATTTAAGTAATCTCACCTTCTGCTGCAAGCCTCTGATAAAGCCAAGAAATGCAGTACGTTCTGTTAAAACACACTTAAAAAAAAAAAAAAAAAAACACCAACGAAACAAAAAACCCAACCCCAATGTCTTTCATTCTGCCTTTTCTCTGAACTTGCTCCAGGCCAGCATTACAGGAAAGCTGGACTGCAGCATTCTTATTCCAGCTCATTTTGTCAATGCATTTTACTTTCACACTTCTTTGTGACCCTTGGGATCATCTCTTATTCTGTTCACTATTCATTTGCTTCATAATTTTAGGAAAGGGTTGTTTGCTGCAACACAGCTGGCAAATGAGGTTAAGAGCTGGGATTTTCTAACAGAGCACTCTGGAAGCAGCCAGACTATCTACAGCTTTGTGAGTGTCTTTAAGTACGCGGAAAACAAACAAGTGCTGATTAAAATTCTGGGAAAACACCCCAGTGTTTGAATCTCATGTAATACTCTGCTAAGGGATTCACTGGTGCTTATCTGGGATTCTCAGAAACAGCAGCAGACTGTTGTTCCCCTGACTATATTCAACCGCAGTGCTTAAAATGGCATGGGAAAGAAGAGACTAATGACATTCAAAACACACTTACAGAAACCATAAATGCTGTAGCACTATGTCTGTCTGTGCTTTCTATCTATAGGCAGGCAGGACCATGCCTCTTGGTAGTAGTATTTGTTCCATTACTATCTGCAAGCCATTTTGTCCTGAGACAGGTGAGCAAATCTGATTTGTTTTTTTTCCTTCTTACAGTTAAAATCATCAGACATTTCCTTTTTCATCCTTTTCTAATGCCCTTATGATACATTTTGCTTATCATACCTCAGCTGCCTGTCAGGAAAGTATATTAGTGATTTTTACCAGTAAATAATACAGCTTCTATAAGACAAACTCTTGACATTCAGAATGGTGTGGCCACTTTCTTGACAGAGATGTAGAAAAAGGTTTTAGCGACTGTGAAGACTAAAACAATCTCTTAGGAGATCAATAACAGAGAAAATCTTATA